AAAGATAGGTGAAAATAAATGCTGGCATACCAGATCTCTCAAATGCAAGTGTTTTGCTGTGAAAGAACGTAAAGTGAAAGCTCCCCAGTCCCTAAGGAGACACATTACGTGTGCCATAGCACTGCTGCCCTGTGCAAGTGCAGAAAGACAAGCTCCCATGCATGCCTCCAGCTTCCACTCCAGGGTGTCTATGAAACCGCCTTCCAGACGTAATTTTTAGAGCGTGGAGGCCCCGACAGCCAAAAGTAGGAGGACTGCGATTTCCCCCAAGTCCTCTTTTAGGTATTGCAAGTAGAATCTGTTACTAACAGATCTTGAAATGGAATGGCAAAAGGCCAGGCTAGCTAGAGATGTTTGGAAAACCAACATCACTATTGCATAATATTGTGAAAACTGAGATTGCTATTTACAGAGTGCTTACGCTGTAAGATCAGAAGCTGTTCCACATGAGACTGTCTGTATTTCAATACTCCCACATACACACTGGAGGTTTTATCGGAACAGGATTCTCCAAAGATGAAGAAAAAAATCTGGCAACAAACAGGTCGTACAGAAGTGGAAGCTCTCATAAGAAAGAGTAAGAACAGTTCCCCCTCCCCATCACAGCATAATCCTAAATCAACTTTTCAGCAGAGTTACAGGAGCATGCAACTGCTAGTTTTCTTGCAGATCTTGTGATCCGAATCAGTCATAACATCCTCATTTGCAGCACAACAGCCCAGAGTAACAGCTATGAGAGCTCTCCAGGACACTTCTACAGATGAACAGCCATAGGGCATGCCCAGGTGGGAAAACACAAGACAGCATTGTCACAGCCACCCTTTGTGGCACAGAAAGAACAAGAAAATTAGATAAGAACATCAAAGGCCTTACATTCACTCAAAGAACTGAGAACTGAAGTCCAAACTTAGCCTTCTAACAACAGGTTTTTATATGAACATTTTCATACATCTCAGCTTTTTGTGGGAACATTTGATCAGACAGAAAAGTAAGGGTCCCTCAGTCCAGTGGGAGAGGTTGCACTCCAGAGTCATCAACGGCCAGTTCCCAGAGCATCATCTGAAGCTGACCTCAAGCCCATGTTCTGCACAATCGAGTGAAAGAAATCGGTCCTTGCTTCTCCCACACATCCCTCATACATATCCAGGTTGTTCCCTCTGATTTCCTAGGGAAGCTCCTAATGTACAAACTGAATAAAATAAGTAAAAAGTCTTAGCAAGGATTAATACTGGAGACAAAAATACTGGAGACTGAAAGTAAATCTTTCCCATAGCTTTCCAACCTCTTTCCAGTAACTGTGATGGGGACAAATCAATAATTAATATGAACATCTCTCAGCCTTTACTGCAGCACACTTGTGAGATAAAACATTGTTATCCTCTGTAGAGAAATAGGAAACAGACTGAGACAGGTGAGGTACAGCCTCAACCAAAGTTAGTGCATTTAGGGCACTGCAATTAAAGTGCTGATAATCTGAAGGAATAAAACTGGACCTACAAAGGAGAGACTGAAACAGTATGTAGACCAGCTGAGAAAAAAGTATGTGATCTTGGGGGAGGTAATAGGTTTCAAATATGTAAAAGACTGCTACAAAGGAAAAATAAACATTCCAGTTTCCAGGTCCTTTGAAGGCAGGACAAATAGTAAGGATTTGATTTTTTTCCTGTTTTGAAACTTAGGTTAAATATTAGAAAAAAGTTTTAAAGGTAAAGTCAGTTCAGCAATGCAGCAGTTTGGGGAGGCTGCAGAAGCCACACTTCTGGGGGCCTTTAAGAACAGGTCAGCATCCTAGAAGGGCATGGGCATGCACTAATGCAAACTGATGTTACCTTAAGGCAGAAGACAGACCTTTGGGCATGCTTTCCAGTTCAAGATTCAAAGACAAATCCAGCCCTTGGGTTAATCAGTAGCAAACTCAACCTAGATGTCTGAAGTCCCAGCCTGTCCTCATGATTACGGTACTACCCTACCAGCTAACAACGCACTGCATTTTCATCTGCCTCCAAAGCATGGAAATGGAACAGCTTTCCTACTACAGTGGCACAGCTGATAAAACCAGAGCTAGCACAAAGCAGAATAAGCATTTAGATTCAGACTATCCGTTGTGATCACCTTGCAGCACACTGGGCTGACAGTAGCAATAGAAATCAATTCAGGTAAGACATTACGTGGAGATACGTCGTCATTTCTCCATCAGCCTCCGCTCACAGATTTGCCTGGCTGTTACTTTACTGACAGCACTACACAGGAGTCTTTGTAAAAAAAGCTTAGACTACCTGCTCAGTCTATTGTCATTCTTCTGTCATTCTTCAAATTCTAGTGAACTTTATCTTAGAGGCCAAACTATCAAGTAGATCAAATATATAAGAAAAATAAAAACATACCTGATTAAGGTTTATTTTTAAGGAAAGCATAAGGACTCAAAATACTTACAGGCTTCACATTTTTGGGAAAGATTTAAGTCACATATTACTTTGATATGTTTTGCTTAGCTTTTGCATTTTGATCAGCTTAAATGATTTTCATTTTCCCTGTCTAGTTAGCTTGCCACAGGCTAGCACTGTGTTAGTAATGAGAACACTACAAACAATGGTTAAGTAAAAAAAGATCCTCCAGCTTGATGCTTACCTCTTGTCCCATGTTCCTTAAAAGACTGAGGTCTTGAAATCCATCTTAATTAGAATTAAACACTATTCCCCAGGTACAACTAGACAAAAGGTTCCTAGAAATATTTTGATTAATATAAAGCTTAGTTATCTTTGCTCCCACATGTTTTACAACAGTGAACATGCATGTAAGTCTTTGCTGCAGTGAATGCAAACTTGCCAACATCCTTCCTTTTCACGTGCCCCTTTTTTGTCAGTAACCAGTATATTTCATGCCCAGGTTCAGCACAATGCTGACTCCCACATTTGCTTTAAAAATCAGAAATAATCAAGGATGAAAAAAATCTCCTTCTGTAAATAAATTTATCATAGATTCAAGCTGAACAGGATTATTGCACTTAATGAACACACAAAACTGAAACATGACAGCCCACAGATGTAGAGACTTGTACCAAGAGCCAATCTATTCTTTCCTCCTCTCCACCTCCATACCCCCTTTGCAAACCCTGTCATTTCAGTATCCACAGAAAAAAATTAGCAGACCAAATGGCACTGCAGGATTTTTGTGGGAGTAATGTACAAGTCTCTTTTTTAGTCTGTAAAGCTCTGAACTTGAGTGCTCAAAAATACCTTGGAGGAGAGCACTCTGGAGCAGAGAGCTCCTGGACATCACCCTCAGCATTTCCCTAAAAGCCAGCAGAGACACGTGGCACTGCAACCTTAGCTGGGGCTCACCAGAAAAATGGCCTAAAGCCCTGATTTTTGCTCTAAGTGTCAGAGCCTCCTGACTGTTCTGTCAGCCAGGAATGTTGCAGCTAAAAAACTGCCAGGGTACAGTTCCTTCTGGTGAGGGGCTCTCCTCTTGCTCCATCTTTTCTAATCTCTGGACACACACACAAAGCATTCAGTCCCAAAGGCCACAGGTCTCTTATACAACCTGCAGCCAAGGCCCTCTATTCTTTGCTTCAATATTTTAGCAGGCTTTCCCACTTACAAGTTTCCTGAAAGCAAAGATGGATTAATGGAGCCTGGAGTTGCTTTCCTTTCTTATTGAAGATCTACACCCCCTCCATTGCAATGGTGAGAAAGGAAAAGTGAGTTAGCACATCTGCCCTCCAGTGACCTCAAGTACCTTGCACAACTGCAATATATTTCTCTCTGTGGTTGGGCAGCAGCATAGAAGCTGCAAGTCCCCTGGGAGGGACAGGGAGCATTAAGTGATACTGAGAGGACAGATTAGCTCAAAGGACTGACAGCTAACGAAGGCCTGCTTGCTGCAAGCACTTTCCATTGTCCACTATTGACCAAACGATCACCGCTCTCGCACAGCGCAGATAATCAGTGCGTCACTCCCATAAATAGAAGCGCATCCTGTACTGAAACACTGACCTAATACTTTTCCAATAGTTACAAGACCAGACTTTGTGTTCTTTAGCCAAAGGTCAGTGGGTCCCCAAAGTGTATTATTTAAAAGTAAATCAATCATGTTGAAGTTTCTGAGCAAATGGAAGGGTTCTGTGTTTGCCTGGCAGTGGCAGAAGGAGCACAGCGGCACTGCAGAAGAAGGGCTGGAGGAGAGAAGAAACATTAATATTTACTCGGTCACAGAAACAGCCATTCAGCCATACTGTATTCAGTATAAGAGCACATGAAATGGATGCTAGATCTTACATTCTACACCTCTTTGTCCAACAAAGCCAACAGAAATTTAGTTTTTATATCTATTTCACAGAGACTGCAGGCTTAATATACACATACACATGCTAAATTACAAGCCGGGGCAAAGCAAGAACTCGTCGTTATGCACTCAGGAGAAAGTAGCTTGATGCTGTGCGGTAGGTTTTTATTTCACACTAGAGCTAACTATAGGCAGAAACACACATCCCCAGTGAGGGCCACCTCTTGATGTCAGTCACACAAAACCTCCCCACAAGGGAAGACAGGCAGGGTCACGCTACATAGCACAAAGACAAAAAAGGCTGATTTTGATGGATGGTTGTTTCATCTCTGCACCACATAACATCAGAAAGTAGCTCTGTAAGAGCAGAGTTCAAAGGGCTGAAGAGCTTTGTTTCAGTTATCACATTCACAGTGCAAATTATTAACAAAATGAGTTCTTGTTTGCGGAATTAAAAAAAAAAAACAAAAAAAAACCCCAAAAAACCAAAAAAACCCCCAACCCTCACAACAAAAAACCCACAGCACCTTTGTGGGCCACTTCTGGACTACAACTGCATCATTATCTAAGATGCAGAACATCGTATTCTTCAAGTTTTGAAAGATTCAACACCACCAGGCAAACCCCAACAATGTTCACATTGGAATTTTCTCCAGCAGCATAAAGTGAACACTTACCAAATACAATCCAAGAAATTATAAAAAAAACCCACTTACCAAAAACAAGCAGCCTGGAGTTTTGTTGCAGGCAACAGGTCAGCTGTCGACTAAGCAACATTGACGCCATTTTATCTTTTCTTTACTCAAAAAGGCTCAATTTTGAGAGATTTCTTTCTGGCTGACGCTCTGAAAAAAAGAAAAGCAAACACTTATTCATGTCCCTATGGATGCAGCCACTGTTACTGTGCCATTCATTTCAATTTCCCCTTTCACTAATTCTAAGCCAAAGAAACTGAAAGCATGCTTTGATGGATTACTGCTGAAGTTCAGAGCAGTCTCAGGATTGAGACCCAAGTCTATTGCTAGGTCTTGTTGAGGCGAATGAATTCTAGGCTAAATCTGCATCTCCCAGCTTTAGCAGGACCAGGGGGTAAAGATCATTATCTACTTTCCCTTGCTCCTCTTCTCTACTTCCTCTATTTATGTGGACTACATTGAACTTCTAAAAAATTTTTAAAAATTTCCAGTCAGTCTCTCAAGCCAATCTGTCATTTGCATTTGACCTAAGTTTATGAGAAAAACCTCATCTAATACAAAACAACAGCAGGACAAGAAGAAAATCAGTCCCCTGAAAAAACCAATTTCTACCAATTAATCACATCTCTATGAAGAGAGACTGTGAAAGCCAGGCTTGTTCAGCCTGAAGAAGGCTCAGGCCGCATCCCATCAATGTGTAATAAGTACCTGACAGGAAGGAGTAAAGAAGGAGCCAGGGTCTTCTCAGTGGTGCCCAGTGACTGGGTAAGAGGCAATGGGCACAAACTGAAATACAGTAAGCTCCATCTAAACATAGAAAAACCCTGGACAGGTCACCCAGAGCGGGTTTGGAGCCACCATGCTTGGCGATATTCAAAACCCAACTGGACATGGTCCTGAGCAGCCTCCTTTAGGTGACGCTGCTCGAGCAGAGGGTTGGACCAGAACACCTCCAGGGGTCCCTTCCAACCTCAACCGTTCTGTGACTCTACCTCAGCTAGTTAAATACAGATGACCTTATAAAGTCAAGTGGCATGAATGATAATATGACTCCTTTCTCACTCTGGATCACCTGTGCAGAAAGCCTGGCTGGAAGTCATAAATAGATAAAACGGGTCATTGAATTATTATCCAGGATACAGGTTAAATTCAAACTTTACACTTAGAAGTGTGGTATCCTGTGTTCTATGTAGGACACTAGAGGCTTTTTTTGCCTGTACAGAGACCAAGCTGGCATTTTTCACCTCACTGGATGTCCTTCCACCCTCAGTGGGTGTAGACCATCTAGTAGCAATGGACTGAGGCCAACAGTCCAAGTGAAGTATCACTATTACCTGTAAACCTCCTGGGAAGAACTCTATTTAACAAATATGCTCCAAGAATAGAGCTGATCTTCTAGCAGAAAGAGATCACAGCTTAATTCTTACATAATTTCTATGACATCAATAGAATATACAAACAGATGTTGATGACTAGATGCAGGGAAGCAGATTGACTAGATGCAGGGAAGCAGATGATCTATTGCTACCATGATAGGGAGTATCTCTTACCCAACACTAATACATCAGAAATTTAATGTCTGTATTGTCTTTAGCCAAGATATCATTCGCTTTACTTTGCACTTGAGCTTTTTCAAAATTGACAAAAGAAAAGAAAAAACTCCTTGTCTACAGGGACCTATTAATTCACGGACCTATTAATACTCAGGTACAAAGAAAATTCCCTGTGCCTTCCCAGACAATCAACACAGCACTTGGTTTCACTTAGTTTGCTCTCAGTTAATTTTAAAATTCAAGGTATTTTGAAATCTGCCAAGGTGAGCAAACACTTGCACAACATTTGTGCACAAGCTGAAAGAAGCTACATTAGCTTTGTGAGGTTTTGGGTCAGAAGTGTAGAGGAAACTAGTTAGTTTTTTTCAGAGAAGAGTAACTTCACTTATATAATAAGACAAGATTAATTTAATTTTCATTAATTTTTCACTCTCAGCTTCTTTCTTTAGTTGTGCTAACTTTTGCATAATCAATGCATAAAGAAATATCCCAATACCATAAACTTCTTATCTCATGACCATCCTCTAGGAAAAAACAAATGCGAGTCTAAGTCAGTGGGACTACCACTGTGGAAAAAAAACTGTTAAAGGGTGAATCAGCCCAGCACCTCTCATAATGATTAACCGCCTTGATCGATGTCCTCTGCTTAGAGCTATTTATCTGGTCTGCTTCTGCAGTCTACAATTCCCTCCTTAAGTTTGCTCTGCAAAGTGTTCATTTTAAAAAGTCTCTAGGAGCCTGTTAAAAGCTAATGTGAACATAGCATTACAAGAACTAACAAATGGAGCAATGCAAACATACCTGTGACAGAAGGCTAAAACAACCCACCGAGATTCATTTTGTCATTCTAGTCCCCTTCAGTCACCTCCTGCGGGCGTTTTGCTACAAACTGACTAATCTACCTTCCCCACAACGATGAGATGCCTCTTCACATACCAATCAAACATACCTTCAAGTCACACTACATGGTCATACCCACCAGTGTCCAAGTTTCCCCGCAGTGGTACCTACTCTTCCTTCCCCAGGGGATCCACTCCTATGTCTTTGCTTTTACTTATATTTCCTGCTTATCTTAAGACCTTTAATGGTTAAAATACAATATGCATAAAAGGCTCAAAAATATATTTGGAAATGGTATTGGCTTTCTGAAATACTCGTAGAAAAAAAATTATTGCAAGAGGTTTAAAAATAAAGTAGCTTAGCCTTAATTTTCCTTGACAGTTGTTATATAAAAAGTTTTACCATTTTCTAGTCCAGAGTCAGAATAAATCATGCAATATCACATTTGAGTATAACTAAAATCAACTTCTTTGCCATCTCCATTACGCACACAAATTCTCACAGGAGATCAGCTGATGTGATTGGTATATTTGTCTAAGCCCATGTTATTTGGTTATCATCATAACCAATTGAATTTTGCCTCCATAACGCATCTCTTGATCAATTCCCACAGGCCTAGCTTGTTCTAGCACTGCAAGCAGCAGCAGCACGGTTTGCAAGCCAGCATAAATTGGCTCTCGTGCACATGTCAAAGCCGCAGCAAAGCCATGCTCCACCACCACTGCTGCTTTGGAGCAACTGCATACAGTTTCAGATTCTTTAAAATCTAGGCAAAATACATCCACCAATTTCGGATATCAGACTGTAAAGGGGATGCGAAGGACAATGTTTAGAGTAGGTTTGTGCTTAAATGCTAGCTACCTTACACCTCAAAGCGAGGCTCAGAAAAGAGATTCATAAGAGTCTTCTCTAAATATTTTTCCTCTAATGGCAACTGTCCTAGCTGGCGTAGCCCATCGTTACGGTAACTGTACAAAACAGCTACATTTGCATATATTTTTGTATGTAATTTTGCATTACGTAAACACATGCATTGGCAAATACAGTTTAAGTCACAGTCACATTCTTTCAGCACGAAAAATTATTTTCAAAGAGGAAGCTCAGTACAGTTTATTGAGCACATGAAACATAAGGATATGTGGATTTTTTAAATGCATACAATGTGAAATTGGATGGGTTTTTTTTGCAACGTAAGCTCTTAAAGTTCAGCACTGAGTGATTATTTCTGACAGGCAAAATTAGTCACTAGGGACGACAACAGTCATTCAGCAGCAGTAGCCTATTTGTGAACATATAAAGATGCATTGTTTCTGTGACCTAACAAGATTATGTTTCTTAGGGGGAACCCCTGGAAAAATAAAAAAAAAAAAATCAGAGAGGGACCCCAACATTCAGGGGGGCTTGATCCAGACACAAGAGTGAAAATATACAAACTAGGAGATGGTATAACATTCTCGCTTGCTAGCAGAGAAGCTAACACAGCATGACATCCACGTTTCAGACTGCAGCTTGCAAAAACCGGCCTCTGAAAGCATCCTCGGGATAGATGCAAAGGGAAGAGGTGAAATGGTTGGACTGGATGATCTTAAAGGTCTTTTCCAACCTAAACGATTCTATGAAACAGAGACACTGCAAGACAGGGATGAGAAGTCAGCACTGCAGATTTGCACCTTTCTTGCAACTCATGCCAAAGACACAGAAGCCTGTTTTAAATTCATGGGGGCACATTCATTTGTCCCTCAGCTGCTCCAAACCCATTTAACCAGAACAATTAAGTGGTTTAGAAACAGCAGCACAAGCTGCACACTGCAATTACTCCACAAGTCTTCACAATACATATTTGGGGGGGCAGGGGAGCAGGGAGGTAAAGGCAAATTAATTCCTCCTTTGCTGTTTTCCTTCACTTGACTTCTCTATGACACACAGCAGTGAGGGTATTATCGTGCTATGTGTTAATTGTTGTGAAATTTAAAACATCTCAAACTATCCTTTACTCCTGTTTGCTTGGATCCATCTCAATGTGCAAACAGCGCAAGGCTTGTTCGCTTTGTGAGCTGCGCAGGGTCTGCTGGCGGGCGCAGGGGCAGCAGCCCAAGGTCCTGAAGCTCTGCCATCCTGCAGACAGTGGTGGACCCTTCCCCTCTCCGTCGGGAGCCCACAGGCAGCACCAGCATTACGCCCCAAAGCAAAACCACCCTTTCCACAGCCCAGCCTGCCCTGCCATCTTGGAGGTGAGCTGGCGTAGACAGTCTGCAAGGAGGCTGTTTCTCAAGGCAGCAAGAAGGCTCTTCAGTTCACAGCTCAGCATGCTTTGACGCTGCATTTTCTGCATTTGTTTTTTAACAGTGGAAGAAATTGCAAATTGAGAGGCCAAGTCAGCTACGGTTCTTGTGACTAAAACAAAAGAACAATGTTGAAAAGCCTGGCAGTACTCCGGTAGCCATGCTGAAAGTGGAAAAAGACTGCAAAGCTGATCTTCCTTTGGAATGAAAAGTTAATTTCCTTGGCTTCACAGGACAGCGAGCCCAACTACTGTTACAAAGACCCAAACCATGATAAAGTGTTAGTAGTCCAGTTTTTTGTGTTGTTTATCTTCCATGAGCTCTTTTTTCTCCTTTTCTAACCTCCATAATGCTCCCACACCTGCACATCAGGGCTCATCAGACGACTGTTCTGGAAGAGGACCAGACTGGAATATATCAGAGACAAGCTGGAAAGAGTTTGGGCAATGGGG